ATGTTGAAGGTGAATGCCTTTATGCGGAAATGTCTTTCATGCCCTTCCTTGCCAGCCTGCCCCATGGCATTAATGGATCCAGCCTTCCTAAAATCTCTGATCAGAGGTTTCTTTTCAGACAACAGCGCATTCTTTGAGAGAAAACTTCCCCTTCCACCGATAATTTTAGTTGATGAGATCTTTTTTTGGAATCTTCTCATTGTATGTGTGCTTCTTTTTCTTTTCTGAGCTTCTCTTGAGCTAACTCATGGTCCACTCTACATATTTACCCAACTCTCATGAGTGGCGTGTCAGGGAGGCAGCCAGGCTGCCATCTGCCTTATGTTGGATGAAATCTTATCAACCAGAAGCATATGGCAGCCAGACTGTCGTCTACCTAGCCATCCGCAGAGAGACTAGGTACTGCAGCTTTAATCCAAAAAGAGAAAAACTGAACCAAAACAAAACCCAAACAACTATAATTTGTGAACTTCAATAATAGGGAAAGATTAAAAAAAAAAAAATCCTTCACCCCTCCTTCCTCCCCAAATCCTAGGGACACAGGCAAGGTCTGACCTTCAAATATATATTGGAACTTGTGCTGCTGAAGGCTGGCACTCATGGCCTCTTCAATGGCGCTGATGTCTTTGTTGAGCTTGACCACCAAAGGGTCATAATCCATACTTTCCACATTAGCTACAATGGCGTAGTTCCCCTCCTTTGCAAGGGGGATGAGATAGTGGAAACAGTGAACCCTGAAAATAAGGCAAAGATGGAGAAGGCAGTTAGTAATACATTTTCCTGATGAAAACAATAATCTTGGGACAGACCGCCCAAATATTTAGGGCAGCAGTGGCCCTGTAAATATTTACGTCGTCCTCCGCTTGCTCACCAGAAAGCCATCTAACAAAGAAATGAGGGATCTGGAGCAAGTTAGCTTCTGTGAGCCTCGCCTGCTTGACCCAAACATTGAGGGTGAGGAATAAATGAGCTCTAACATCCCCTTTAAAGACCAGATTATATGGCCAGTGTGAAAAACATTCTATCTTTCAAAGACACGGCTGTAGCAGCAATGTGAGGCAGAGGTCACGGAGCTTCAAAGAGTTGGCTCTGGAATGAGACCATTTTGGTTTCAGTTTCCAATTCCAACATCTGCTGGCTGTGTGGCTTTAGGCGAGTTACTTCATCTCTGTCTCGGTTTCCTTATCTGGACACTTGGGATGACAACAACACTTACCTCTAAGGGGCTCTGAGGAGCTACTGAACATCGAGCATGTGGCATGGATGCCCGGGCACAGGGCAAGGGCACAGCAAGTGTTGGCTACCATCACTAAGACTATAATTAATCTATTACTTCAGTAAAACACTACAATAAATTTACTTATTTATTTAAAAATAAAATTGTGCTGGGCCTTGGGAATGTGAGACATGGGTTTGTGCCCCGAAAGACTCCATAGCTTAGTGGGGTGGACCAAAAAAGAAAAAAAAAACAAAAACAAAAAAACAAAAGAGGGCAGTGTGTCACTCAGGGGCACGTGGTCCTCTGGTGAGAACCATGAAAGCCCGCCACTGGGGTGTCAGGAAAGGTTCGCAACATAGGGTGACACTTAAGTATGTAAGATGATCTAAATGAGCTTAAAGAAGGACGTTCCCGTGTTGACACTGCCTGAGTCATTCTGACCATGTACACTTCTTAGGTTCTTTTTGGTAGTTATTGGGAACTGCCAAAGAAGTCCGAGATGGGTAAGGATTGGCTACTCTATAACCTGGGTGTGAAGCTGTAACAAAAGCAAGTTTCAGTACAAACAATTCTTCCACACATACAGGCATTTATAAAGAAACAAAACCAAAACCCAAAACCCTCCATCCATTGGCAGACCCAGTTCAAACACGCTGACTATAAACTCAGTGAGGTAGACAGGAAGATGTTCAGAGTCAAAACTCTGTTACCCTTATAGTCTGTATCAGGTAATAGGAAATATTCCTAAACAAAAGGCTGCAAAAGCCTTGGGCATTATTGCTAATGAACTGTCTTCAGGCTTGACTACCATCTTTCTTTTTTAAGTAAGGTTTATTGAGAAATAATGTATAAACAGTAAAATGCACCTTCTCAGTGTATAGTTCTATGAGCTTTGACAAGTCTACACAGTTGTATAATCACTGCTATTATCAAGTTGTAGAACCATATCATCTCCCCCAGAATTCCCTTGAGCCCCTTTGCAGTCAACCTCTACCCATACCCCAAGGATCTGGAGACCACTGATTTACAGACACTTCCTATACTTTTGTCGTGCCCAGAACGCCTTATAAATAGAATCATACAGTATGTGGCTTCTGGAGTTTGGCTTCTTTTACTCTGCTTAAAGCATTTCTGCTTATTTGCCATCCATATACCTTTGTGTTCACAATTCTTGCCCAATATTTTTATTGGGTTGTTTCCTTATTATTAAAATTTGAGAGTTCTTTATATATTCTGGATACAAGTTATTGATTAGATATACATTTTGCAAATATTTTCTCCTCCTCCTTGGCTTGTCTTTTCATCTTAGTGATGTCTTCTGAGGAATGGTTTTTAATTTTGATGAACTTCAGTTTATCATATTTCTTCTTTTTTTGGGTGGTGTTTCTGGGGTCATATGTAAGAAATCTTGGCCTAAAAAACATCACAAAGATTTTTTTTCCTAAGTTTTCTCCTGGAAGTCTTATAGTTTTAGGTTTTATATTTAGATTAATGATCCATTTTTAATGTTTTTTTGGTAAGATTTTACTTATGTACTTGAGAGAGAGCATGTGCACAAGTGGGTAGTGGGAAGGGGCAGAGAGAGAGGGAGAAGAAGACACCTGTCTGAACAGGGAGCCCGACACGGGGCTCAATCCAGGACCCCGCGATCATGATCTGAAGGCAGATGCTTAACTAACTAAGCCACCCAGGTGCCCTGATTCATTTTGAGCCAAGTTTTGTATAGGATTGCGTTATATTCTTAAAACTTGCTTATGTGGGGGAAATCTAAAGATCTTGACTACTAGCTCATTTTCATTATGGGTGATCATCTAACAGCGACATCAATTAATGACAAATTTTGCCAATAAAAATTCATACTGGCATTCCGGTGCCCATTGGCAAGGTGTATACTGTTAATCAAGACACCAGTAACTGTGCTGGTTGCAGCCCCCTCTGGAATGTGACCTTTCTAATATCATGAAAGCTGACCAATCCTGGAGTGGGATTCACGACGAGGGAAACTGATTACTACTGTGGTAGAAATTAAACTGAGTAGCTCAGCTGAAAATAAAATCACGAAAATAAAATGCTAAAGTATTTTTATAGTAAATTACACGTGATGTAACTCCAGACAATGGGAAGACCACATACAAAGGCATGAGGTATGAATGAAGGCCGGTTTTCAGGAATGACAAGTGGTTCCTTTTGGAACACACACATCACATGTGAAGACAGAGGCATGAGGTGTGCTTGGGGAGACGGGCAGGAGGCCAGTCATCATCAGCTTTGGAGGCCATCTATGGACTCTGGACTTTATTTGAGAAGCCACAAGGGGCCTTAGGAGGATTTTGAGAGATGAAATGATATAATCAGATGTGAGCTTTGGCGCGATCGCTCTAGCACAGTATAAAGGGTGGACTGATGCTGAAGAATGGAAGCAACTGAAAGGAGAGAGACTACTGGGGATATTCTCAGGAACTGGAGGTGAGAGCGTATCAGATCCTGAAGTGAGTGGCATGAAAGAGAAGAAAAAAGATATTAAAGTAGCCACTGGCAAATGTCAAATTCAAAAAGTGTTTCTTTTCTTCAGAGTCTGGCACGCTGTTGCTGACCTTAAGATACCTTTGGCATTAAGGGTTTCTACAAATATTGCTGATTACGCAGCAGGATGGGTAATTTTCATAAAGTACACACTTCGGATCCCAATGGTAACAGGCGCTCGCTGTGGAACCCACTTAGAGCCCTCCTGATGGGAAGAGAAATCAGCTGATAAAGGTGACATTCTGGGCATCTTGGACTCAAATGGCAACTTAATTTTCTTCTTCTAAAGTTCAAATAGGGGGAAAAAAAGCCTCAACAATTTTTAATGGTCTCACCATACCTTTCATCTCTCAGGAGTGTCATTTGCCTTATGCTTCAAACTGTGGAAAGGGGCTGCTTGTTGGTTAAATGTGACCTACAGGGACATGGGTAAAATGTCAAATGCTCTTTGGATGGGTCCTTCAACATGGAACCTACTGGATTTGAGAACACCTTCTGGTTTGAACTTTAACAATGTTACAGAAAAATACGGGCTGCAGATATGGAGGTATTTTGGTGAGTAAGATAAATTTTTGGCATCTGAGGTTATTCTGGCCTTCTTGCTAGCATTTCTCACTATTTTTTCCCCATTAATTTCTTTGTCTATTCTATCTGTGCTCTCTTATTCCAGTGGCTTTGGGGGTAGAAGTACCAGAGACAGTACTTAACCAGCCACTTCTTCATTTCCCCAGCCCCCGAGGGACAGGGCCTAACTTCTCACTCTGTGTTATGGTCAGATGGTAACAAAATGAACATTAGGAGATTATGGTGATAAGGATGATAGTGCCCGTATAGCCTCCGGACCTCTTGCATACACGCAGCGGACTGCTAGGTGAAAACAGAGCCTTCAAACGACTTCATTTCCTTTAAAGAGCAACAGGTTTTGTTTGGACAAACAGCACTTCTTTTGTCTGGGTTTGATTTCAAACCAGCTCATTCTCCAGAAGCATTCAGATTTTTATTGAGCACTTACTATGGGGGCAGGACTGTTCCAGGTTCTGGGGCCAGAGGAATAAAAATGGCACAGTTGACTCCCTCCTTCTAGAAGTCATCATCATCCACTGTGGATACAGGGGGGCCCGGCACCCTCCTTACTTCAGCATTTCCCCAGTAGTGTACTGATATACTAGTGATGCACTTTGTTCATTTTGTATTGCCAACCGTATGAACACACACACACACACACACACACACACACACACACACACACACGTGCTTGTTACTGTGACAGAGAATGAATGAAATCTGTCAATATTCATTTCCGGAGCCATCCACAGTACTCTCTGCCTAGTTTTACTTGTCATACTTCAAAAGGAACAAAGACAGTATGGAACATATTCATAACAAAGCAACCTGAATGCTGAAACCATGTGATATGAGAAGGTAGGAGAAATTAATTTAGAAACAATAAACATGTTTAGTGCTTTTAGCAAAAATCAAGGGAAGGAAATTCTGCATCCAGGACTCTAAAACTCAGTGCTTTTGTTATTCATTCTTACAATGACCTTTTTCTGTTTTTCAGTGATTGCTGAAGGAGATACAGCAATGGGTGTCATCGCGATGAATGGTTTCTTGTAAAGTTAATAAATAATGACTAAGGTATGTTCAGCATTAAGAATAATACCGTCATGACGTATGAAAACAAAGAGGGCAGAATAGAGGTTAAGGATTTAAAAGACTTACTCAAACATGTTGAAAAATCTCCCACTGGGAATTAACTACACTACAAGCGGCTAGTTCTGAACGTGGAACACTTTGTGTTCCCAACACAATCGATAGCATAAATTCCAGGAGCTGTGATAGTAATTAATTTGATGTTCCCTTGCTTTTCTGTGCAACCCGGGTAACAGAGGCTTCAGAATGTTACTGATTTTTGTTTTTGTTCCTGTCTATTACATTTATCTATTCATAGAAACCACCTGATTTATTTCACTGTCAGCTTGTAAGTAAACAGAAAACAAATCTAAAAATTATCACAAAACAAATCAGAAAACACGGAGGAGGGGCCTTTCTTCCTGGACAGCTGCATGTAAGGAATATGATCAGAAATGAGGCCGGGTAAAACATTCCTAGCCTGCAATGCTGCTTCTCTTACTCCACTCACAAGGAGTGACGTAATTAACAAGTAAGTCATTGGACAAGATAATGAAGAATGAACAGAGCACGAGGCATACACAAGAAATGACATCCAGAATACATTATCAATTATGCTTTGCCTAAGCACACCTGAAAGATATCCAATTTCTAACTGGAGTCCAGACATAGGAACCAAAATCCTATTTACGTTTTTAAAACCTCAACCTAGTAAAGACTCCAAATGAAACAACAAAATGCTCTATGAACTTTAATAATGACTCATGGTAATACAGAAGATGTGTTACTGTACACTTTCTGATCTCGAATTTTCTGATCCTGAAGTTCCAAAAGTCCATATCCACCACGGGTCTGATATGGCTACCTAGAGGTCTAATAAGCACCTCTAACTAACCATCTCCCAGATGGAAGTCTTGATTTTCACCCCTCCTACAACCCTTCTCCTCCCTCAGGATTTCTCACCTCTGTTAATGGCCCTGGCACCCACAGAGTTACGCTGGGTCCAAAGCTGCTGGTTTTCCTCGAGTCCTTTCTTTTGCTGTCACCAGCCCCTGCACCCCACCCAGGTGATCAACACATTTCATCAGCTCTGCCTTTGGAACAGATCTCAAACTAACCCTTTTCACACGTACTCTCTGCTGCTCTGGAGCTCATAACTGGTCTCAACGCACGCTAGGCTTCCAATCATACTCCTTCCTATAGTCCCTTTTCCAAACGATAGCTGAAGTGCCCTTTTGAAAATGAAAATGAATGAATGAATGAATGAAGGAATGAATGAAGCTCTCTCCCTTGCTTAGAACCTTTCTATTTTCACAATGCCCTCAGAATGAAAGCTGAGCTAGTCACCTGGTCTACGTGGCATGATGACATGCCAGGCTTCACGACCACACATGGTCAGGCCCCAGCTGCCTCTTCCCATAGTCTCACACTCCTCCCCACCTCCTTGTTCCCAGTGTTCTACACACCCTGACCCTTCTCCACTCCTCAACACTGCCAAGCTTGATTATCTCGGGACCTCTTGGTCTGAGCTTCCCTTCTCCTAGGTCTTTGCACACGTGGTTCCTTCTTGTTACCATGTCACATTTTCTTTGACCACACTATCTAAAAAACAAAAAAGCCGATACCTCTTTGTAGTCAAGCCCAGCTACACTCTGCCATGTCCAGAATGAAAACTAGCCACGTGCGGCTATCGAGCACTTGAGATGTGACCAATCTGAATTTCAATGTGCTCTAAGTGTAAAACATGCAGATTTGGAAAGACTTTGTACACAAAAAAATGTAAACTAGCTCATCCATAATTCTGACATGAGTTATATGCTGAAATGATAATATTTTGGATATACTGGGTTAGACAAAATATATCATAATTTATGTGTTTCCTTCTACTTTTTCAAATGTGACTCTTAGAAAATTTCAATGATCTATGTGGTTCAAACATATGGCTCACTTTGTAGTTGTATCAGCACTGCTTGATTCCATTATGGTATTTTGTTGGTAGCACTTATGTGAAATTATCTTTCTTCGTTCGTTCATTGGCTGTTTCCCCCATTAGAATGTAGCTCCATGAGAGCAGGGCCCTTGAGTGATTTTTTTTTTCATTGCTGTATCCCAATTCCTAGCACACGGCCTGGCACAGAGGCACTTAGTAAATGTTTATTGAATGAACAAATGATTGAAGACATCCCAGTCTTTTCTTTCTACCATTTCCATAGGTGTGATAAGAGAGCCTACCAACACTAAGAATGTTCTATACCGCAAGGGAAGGAATAAGAATCCAAGATTACGTCATCTTTGAAACTCTTGTCCTGAATTATGATTTAACGTAATCTCTTCTTAGGTCTCAAGTTCTTGAAGGACGGCTCCTGCATCTGTATATTCCCTTACCGATTTGCAGAGCACATTCATGAAAATGTCAGTGACAATAAAGTCACCATAATCACAAAGCTACCACATTCTGAGCATTTATTTTGTGTCAGGTATTGTACTAATTATTAATTCATTTATGAAGTCTGTAGGCTAGGAATTATTGTTTTACTTTTATGATGAGAAAACAGGATCAGGAAAAGTGTATTAACTGACTTTAAGATGGCCTAACTAGCTGGTAGAGACATTCAAATACAGAACATTCTGATGTCACAGGCCACACAGACTCTGAGTCAACCATATTTATGATACAGCATGTGCTTAAAACTTTTACAGTGATTGATTAACACTAGAAATCACATTCAGTATAAAAAAATAAAAAAGGACAACAGTAGTAAGAATCAAAAGTTACAGTGATATGCTCCAGAAAGAAGCAAGCGATAGGTGACCCGCGGTGCACTTCAGCTGCGGTCTTGGGCTTGCCTGCGTCATACCTGACTTCCAGATGCAGCACCAGCAAGCAGCGGTCAGCCATATCCTGGAAAGATCTGGCAAGTTCACTCAGCGTCTGCATGATCTGCTCCGACACTGGGGGCAGATCCATGGTCACACGGCTCTCCTGAGCCGGAGACAGCACTGAAAGGAGAAGAAAACACCAGTCACTGCACTATGTGCCTGGAGATCTGTTGGAAATGACATCTTACTTTGCTGTTCATTATGTTTTTACCAATTTGACTAATGCTGGTGTGGGCAGCATTCAACATCCAAGACACAATTGACTGTTTCTGTACTTAATTCAACACTGATTGTCTTCAACCAATTCACAGATTACTAGAGCAGAACCTTGGCATTGGAAATGGCCTGAACAGGCATCCGGCCCAACCACGTGGTCGAAGCTTGTGTCTCTTGCGCATCTTCTAGTGATTGCTGGGCATCTGCTTACGTACTCCGATGAGTGTGAACGAAAACTCAGTACCTTTTAAGGCAGCCTACTCCATCTTGAAAGATGTGACCATCTCTATCTACTGACATCTGTTGCCATTAACTTCTAATCATGGGCTCTGATTCTAGAACTTGGCAACCATTCTCATATGTGTTAGCACTTCAAGTATTCAAGACACCATGTCTTGTGGCTTCCTTCAAGTCTTCCCTTTTCTAGGCTAACTAACCCCAGTGTTTCAGCTATTCTTCATATAATCAGAGTGAATTGTTTTTTAATTCTCTTAATTTGCCAACAAAACCATTCCAATTGTTCTGTATCTCCCTTGAAATGTGGAACTCGGGACCAAACATGATAAATACCACAGAGTAGGGGCATCTGGGTGCCTCAGTGGGATGAGCCTCTGCCTTCGGCTCAGATCATGATCTCAGGGTCCTGGGATCGAGCCCTACATCGGGCTCCCTGCTCCGTAGGGAGCCTGCTTCTTCTCTCTCTCTCTCTGCCTAGCTCTCTGCCTACTTGTGATCTCTGTCTCTCAAATAAATAAATAAAATCTTAAAAAAAAAGAGATTATGCTGAGTGAAATAAGTCAAGCAGAGAGAGTCAATTATCATATGGTTTCACTTATTTGTGGAGCATAACAAATAGCATGGAGGACATGGGGAGTTAAGAGAAGGGAGGTGGGAGAAATTGGAAGAGGAGGTGAACCATGAGAGACTATGGACTCTGAAAAACAATCTGAAGGGTTTGAAGAGGTGGGGGGGTGGGAGGTTGGGGGAACCAGGTGGTGGGTATTAGAGAGGGCACGGATTGCATGGAGCACTGGGTGTGGTACAAAAACAATGAATACTGTTATGCTGAAAATAAATTTAAAAAAATGATAAAAAAAAACAAAAACAACAAAAAAATACCATAGAGTAGATCTGTCCTATCTACAAAGAATGATTAGTTCCCTTGTTCTAGATGCTATGCTGCTTGCACATGAGCAACAAGAAGGTGAAATCTTCTTGGGTGGGGGGTAGGAAGAGTATGCTGTATTCTGCTTTATCTCATATACAGCCTACAGTCAGCTAAAAGCCCCAAAAGGTCTTCTTGGAAAATTTGATAGAGTTACCTTCTGTATCTCTATCAAGTAATTAATAAAGTATTTACGGTACTTGGACATTTTTTTCAGGAAAATATTGAACAGCAAAAATGCAAACTATATTTATACCTAGACTTCTGTTGCATATCCAGTTCCCCACAACTTCTCAAAGATCACCAACAACGAATTTGGCAATTTCATTCAAAAGTTCTTTTAGTATTCTAGAGTTTCCAAGACAGGCTTTGAATCCTGTTTCCACTACTCACTTATTATGTGACCAAGAGCTAAATACTTAAATTATGTCTGCCTCAGTTTCTCACTGTAAAATGGAGATAATACCACCTACAACATGGGGCTTTGGGGAGCATTAAATGGGTTAATGTGGGTAAAACACATATAATAATAGCATATCAACCTCACTTAATATTAATATAAATAATGAGCAATTATTATTCTTTAGCATGTGATTTGTCCAGGTTAAGAGTTTTTTTTAAATTTTTTAAATTTTTAATTTTTTTATAAACATATATTTTTATCCCCAGGGGTACAGGTCTGTGAATCACCAGGTTTACACACTTCACAGCACTCACCATAGCACATCCCCTCCCCAATGTCCATAACCCGAACCCCCCCTCAACCCCCCTCCCCCCAGCAACCCTCAGTTTGTTTTGTGAGATTAAGAGTCACTTATGGTTTGTCTCCCTCCCGATCCCATCTTGTTTCATTTATTCTTCTCCTACCCCCTTAACCCCCCATGTTGCATCTCCACGTCCTCATATCAGGGAAAGAGTTTTAAGCTTAACTATAGTGACAAGGTACTTAAAAGATAATTCCCTTGAGATTCCATTATCAGTATTTTTTGCTTTTCCACCTGAAAATCCTTCTGTCAGAGGATGCAGCAGTGTCTTTTGGAAGAAGGGCACTTAGGGCCTGTGAGATCTGGCAAAGCATCACTGACTGGCTCAGGAGGGCTTCCCCTTACAGGGTGGAGAGTCACAGGTGGCTGTGGCAGGGGTCGACAGCCACAGGCTGTCAGAACTGCATCTGTTTTTGGACTTTGCTATGCCCAGAGAAGGGCCCAGAAAGACAGCCCAGCCTCATAGGGCCAAGTTCTCTGGGAAACCAGACTTGAATAAATTCAGGTACTAGGGCAAAGATTAAACAAAAAACAAATTTGGGCCAAGGGAACAGATCTGTAAGGAAGAATGAAATGTAACGATGTAGATTTCAAATTCCTACCAGCCTTGGCATCACTCAAGAGGCTCACTAACTCCACCCACGGGAGAGTGGCTACTGCATGGCGGCCCCTCTCCACGGTGAACACTGCCCAGCCTGTAGGACTGCAAGGCGAGATCACCGCCTTCGTAATGTTTGCATCCGGCAGGCCACATGAAAGCAACTATAAGGAACACTAGTCTAATACTTCAAAGCATGTCAGGGCTTTGAGCCCTTGGACTCTGCTGTTGAGTGACACTGACCGTGGATTGAGAGCTCTTTATGTGCCACGATGGGGGCAGAAATCAGACCCCAAAGAGATCAGACTCGTGGCTTAAGATCCAAAGTTATATCAATCTCCTAACTCTATCAAAGACATTTTGGACAAATTCCACCAAGAAGAAAAATCCAAGTAGACGAAATTAATGGAAGATAAACAGTCAAGAGAAAATTTGGAATGAGTGAGGTAAAAGGAGTTTAGAAAAGCAGCACGTTGCACATTTTGCCGGACTGTCACCTACAACAAAAATATAACATTTTAGTAAAGCGACATGAAGCCTCATGCCCAGAGTTCTATAGAAAAGCCGTCCTGTGAATTCCTGAGGGCTCCCCGAAACTTACAAAGTTTTCTTAACAAGAAGGAATAGAGCAAAAAAATGCTGAGCATGGCAAACAAATACAACACAAAACAGTGAACTCTCTCTTAAGTGTCAAATGGAAACCTACAAAAAAGCAATGCTGACAGAAGAGGCTGGGGATGCAGTTGAGATAGGAGGTTACTGGACACACACCGGATACATCCTTTTAGAGGCTATGTGGTGGTTTATCTTAGGGATTGCTCTTCATATCAGCAATTGGACCTTAAAAATATTAGTACTTGGGGTGCCTGCGTGGCTCAGTAGGTTAAGCCCCTGCCTTCGGCTCAGGTCATGATCTTGGGGTCCTGGGATCGAACCCCACATCGGGCTCTCTGCTCAGCAGGATCCTGCTTCCCCCTCTCTTTCTGCCTACCTCTTTGCCTACCTGCGATCTCTCTCTCTGTCAAACAAATAAATAAAAATCTTCTAAAAAAATATTAGAACTTGATCATTTTATTAAGATATACACTCTGAGTTGTTCTGCTAAGACTAGGAATGGGTCCCATCAGATCATTCATAATATCCTGCTCCTCCTATAGCCACTGTATAAAAGCAGGCCTCTTGGAGACTCCCAGCTAACTAATCGTGGCAGTAGAACTGTGGCTTTCTGTACTAAATTGATCAGTTTATAGGAGGATGCTGAAGCTTGGCTCTCCAGGGCAGGCACTCCTTGTTAGGTGAACCAAGACACATATCCAATTCTCCCTTGTTCACACAGCTATAGACTCCAGAAAGCTGAATGTTCGCATTTCCAGCCTTGCTCGTAGCAAGTGGAGGCCACGTGTCCCCGTCTGCCCAATGACCTTTAATATAGATTCTTCTGTGGCAACTTGATCTAACCCCGGCTAATTCTGCAACTCATCTTTTGACAGAAAAACGAAAGTATGGATTGTTGCCCCTAAAACTTTCTGGATTTTAATCTCAAAAATGTCTTCAATGTCACTTGTCCATCCTTCCCTAGTGCTTGGCTAGCTCCTTTTCCCCTTCTCAGCAACTTTTCCCAA